TACATGGTAATAACATTGACACTGAAAATTTACGAGCATGAAAAATGCAACATAGATATGCCTCTAGCTCAGCCCTTCATGTCCTTTATTTGACAGAATATTCTTAGCATACTTTTTTATTTTAAAACCTTGTTTTTAAAAACTGCACAGCTTATTTACTGTTACCTGTCTTCTCTTGCTCCCTTTCCCACCTGGCTTTTGTGTCGTTGGATCAGAGGGTCTATAGCATCTGAAATCTCTTGAATGCTGGTCATTCCACAGTCCTCTGACAGCAAAATTCTGAACACTTTCTCTTTTGTTGTTGCTTTTATTTTTCTCTTGGTCTTTTTTCTGACAGTAAGAAATAATGTGAGAATAAATAGTGGGAGACTCTGTTAATATAAAGCATGAGCTTCTCTTGTCTGCCTAGGTATTTTAAAGCTACATAATCAGATCAGTTAATTAAAATTCTATCATTTACAAAAGGTTTTTGCTTTCACACCTGAGTCTTCATCTAAAGCAGAAGTGTCTGCAGACTACAAGAGTCTTTATCATGCATTGTTGTAGATCTGGCCAAAAACCAGGAACAAGACCTTTTGATCCTCTTTATTATTCATAAGAGTCCAAGCCTGAATTGCTGAACAGTGGTAATAGATGTCTTTGCTTGTACTGTTGTATGCAACCATTTCTCATTTCTAGTAAGAAAAAAAATATCGTCAGTATGATAAACTTCACATGTCAAAGGTAGCTCATATTCATGTACAAAGCTTGCTGAGACTTGGCAAAGTTGTCTGCAGCATTGCCTAATACTGTGCAAATCATATTCCAACTTGCAGCTTCAGTTTCTCCTCAACAGTGAGATGTTTTCCAAGCTCCTTTAATACCTTACCTACATTTAGTGGGTCAGTGCATTCACAGCTGAAAACAATTTCTACTCTTTCCCTTCCAGTAAAGAAGACCCAAGGAAACAGCAGTGGTTTTTAGGAGACTAAATGTCTACATTTCAAGAATCCACTGTTCCTTGTCAGGCAAATTTTGAAAAATTCCTTTGAGCATGCATCATGGATGGGAGGGAGCAAGGACTTGGGGGCATCAGAATTAAGTAATGTGCTGTCTCACGAGATGAAAACCTGTGGACCAGAGTTGAGGTGTTGCTGGCCAGAGAGCCACCAGTGAGATCCAGCTACTGCAGTTCCTTGGGAGGAAAATGCCTGTAGACTCTTCTCTGTCTTCTTAAACATACTTTACTCCAAGCACTGTTTGAAGTTATGATTTTCTTTTCCAGTTCTTTTTTTCACTTGTGTTAAAGATGGCCAAATATCTATTCCTGCCAGGTAGGACCATAATACTAATAGTCAGCATCACTGCCATGCAGAAAGGGAGGAAAAAGAAACAGCAGCTCTCCAGAGTGTCACTGCAGAATGTTTTATTTATGCTGCTGCAAGTGTGTGTCATTGGTCCTCAGTCAGGCATCTCAGAGATAGTTTGTGCTGGAATGTTTCTAGCCATTAAAGTAGATTCACAGGTGTCAGCAAGTTCAAACTTCACCCAGAAGGTTCTTAGTATTTTATTTCTCTTTTTTTTGCATAAGGATGTAGAATGGAAGTCTCAATTCTCAAGTGGTCTTGAAATTATGCAGCTTGTGCTGGAAAATCTACCTTCCTTGTTTTTCTTCACCTGCCAAGCCCTGTTGTTATTGATAAGGATTTGGTTTTTAGGGTTTTTTTCTTTCTGGGATGAGTTGAGTCTCCTGTTTGTCATTTCAGAAACCCCACCTATTCAGAGGCTAAGGGGATTCTCAGAAGGCATCTTTCCAGATGGTGTTTGCAGTATAGTACATGTAGCCATCTGACCTGAGTTTTGCCTCAATATGCTGTGTATTTACCATGGGCTCTCCCTCCTGTTAATTTTCCCCAGATCAATTTAGACCATTTCATTTACTGAGTCAGTGGGTTTGCATGTGAACAGCTGATCAGCAGCTCTGTTGGGTTCCAAAGCCAGAAAGCAAGGTGCCATTGAGCCACTGCCTACCTTCTATGCTTAATTAATTTCTCAGTGATGTTTCTAGCTTCTGAATATTGTGCTGCTAGTTTAACACAGAGGGAGATGTTTGATGCATAATGTTGGGGTATTCCACCAACAGCCCAGATTTAGATTTTTCCAAATGTGCCACTGCTCTGCTTGCAGGGCGCGCTGTGTATGTAGTGCCATCTGCCATCATTGATGCTGTATTCTACAGAATGAATGCCAGCCCCATTCAGAAGGCTTTACTATGGTATCCAGCTCATCATCTGCTCTGGTTCACTTCAGCAGGTGTGAAAAGACCTGGCCTGCCCTGCTGTGAAGCTTTGAAACCATGGAAATCACAGCCAAAAATGCCCATTTGGACACAGTGCCAGTCGATTCACTCAGAGCCAGTTCATTAGAGCTTGCATATTGCACTTTGCCAATGAGCTGATCTCCCACATCTATTGCCAGCTACTTCTTTCCTTCAAACAGCTGACATGTGTGCAAAGGCATTCATTCCAATTCATCAATTGCTTCAGCTTTTGCTCTAGTGTTACGTTAACAGCTATCAAAGGCTCGCTCTTCCCTCACTCCTGACCATGTACATGTTGCCTCTTACCTTCTGGCAGGTCTCCAGAAGAGACAGAGGTATGCAAGCTTCTGCCTAGAAGCTTTCTGAAGCTTCTGCTCTTCTGCTTTACCTCTTAAATTTTAAACTACCAAAACAGCACAGTGAAGTTGCTCCAACTCACCTGTATTAAAAATGTCACATAGTGTGTTGTACGGGGAGTTGGCACTTGGGTCCTAAAAGTGGACATGTGGAGTCTCAGTAAGAGGTGTTGCTTTCTCTGGTGTAAGTGGAGGGTTTTAAATATCCACTGGCATTCCAAACTTATTAAAACAAATAATTAAGTTCTGATCAGTTTCCTCAAGGAAAATTAATTTATTGGGTCTGAAAGGTATAAATTTTCACTTTAAATTCACATTAAAAAATGCCTCACTTTGTAGGCAATTGAAAATATAGAATACCCAACAAGTTCTTACATCTTGGCTGTCACCTGTTAGGAGCAGCCATGCAGACACCAAGTTTGAAGGCATTAGCCTCATATACCATGAGCATTTGTCAGCAGCCTCTCTCACCAGTGTTTCTTCTGGTTGCTGGGTGTGAACTCAGCCCTCCTCTGTTGCCTCCATGGCTATCCTGTTGTGAATCTGAAATACTTCCTGGCCATCCTGCTCCAGTCTGCTTTTTCTCTCTGGTATCTGGGAGGCAAAAATCCTCACACTTGATGCAGTGGTTTCCACTGCCTGACACTGTGGAAATAGCCATGGGACTCCATGAATCCTTGCCCAGAACTGTGGTGGGAGTGAGCTGGAAGTTAGACTTGACCAGAGTCCAGACTTGACCAGCTTGTCCCCAGAAGTGCTGTGGGCACCTGCGATGGTTTGCTGGACCACTCAAAATCTTACACATCAATTTAGGATGTGTGGCCAAAATAATGTAACAAAATGCTTTCACAGACACAAACTGGCATATATGTTTGTACATTTATCAATCCTTGGGTCATACAGCACAATGGATTCCAGACAAGTCCAGTGATTTTTGGACTGGCGAGAGAGAAGGACCCCATCTAGATTATTCAGTCTCTGTCACAGTTTTGCAGTATAAAGTAGCTTCTTTCTTTGTAGCTTTGGAGACAGGCAGATGAACTGTAGTGTTTACTCAGATTCAGAACTGATAATTAATACAATGGATATCCAGGATTTTGTTCCACCCACTCCAAAATGGTGATCATAAACTAGGAATAATAGCAACACTTCTGTCACTTTGATGCCTACATCTGATTTGGCTGCCAGAACAAACTTACACCATGACATAGGAAAAGCAAGCAAAATTTAGCAGTTTTGTTTTATGCTGAGAAATGAATATGGATGTTCTGTGCTATCAAAGCAAGGAAGTAATTTTATCAGGTGTTCCTTCGTAAAATACAAACTGAATTCCGAGCCTCCTGACTTTGGTGGTGGCTTTGAAGTGCTAAAAAATAGAGTGCTTTACTTAATATGTATGGACACTGGATACTGTGCTGAACACTTCCTTGTATCCAAAACATCCATCGTTAATGTAGCTTTAATAAACTCATTCCTTCAGCATTCTCACTTCTACTGGTAATTGAGATGAAACCCAGCTCCTGAATAGAATGCATATGGATATGGGTGTTTTACTTGTGCTCTTCTTTTTTGCAAGAAAATAAGACTGTGTTCATATACTATGGATTGGAAAGCTAGCCTGATGTGGAAGGAATTGTTTTTCTTTTTATACAATGAGAGAGAGAAAGTCATAAAATGAGAAAACTACATGAAATAATTTTACATACAGGGATAAACACATAGAAAAGGATTAAATTACATTATCATAACAGAAATGTTAGAAAAATGGTTCCCTGAAGTATTTTAATTAATAAAAAACCCACCAAATTATTACTGAACTTTAATTGAAAAATCTGTAGAAACTTGGATAGAAAGTAAAAACCGATTTTTGAAAAGAGTATCTGGGGGATCAGGATGTGATTACTAGTGATGCCTGCTTATTGCATTCTTCTCCCTGTGTTTTTTGCTTCTACTGCTGCTGGAATATAAAAATTTATTACTGAATAAGTTGTTAGTCTTAACTTGAATCTCTTAGATGGCATCTTAGGAGAGTGTAGTCTTTGTACTGCTCAAAATAGAGGTATAATCTTAGCCCTGTAAAATTAGACACATATGTGAAAGCTAAAACAGTCTGTTTAGACTCAACTCTACAAAGAGAAAACAAAAGAGGCCAGTAGTTTCAATGTTTAACAGCATGTAAAGGTATTACAGGTTTCCACATCTGTGGAGTTTCCTAAAGGGATTACATAAGGATGGGAGAATCAATTTTTTTGGTGATTGGAAAGCAAGGAAAGAGGAGCTAATAACTTTGTTAACTTTTGAATGATGTTTGTGATGTTTTATCTCATATGTTCTGTTTCTTCCAGCTACGAATGTCATGGCTCATCCACGGTGTCCTGCTGGGAAATGTGTCCCTGGTGCTGGTGGACAACAAGACGGGAAGGGAGCAGAGCTGGACGTTTTGGCATTCTGAGAACAGCGAAGGATTGGGAATATGGCAGTGGATGACCTTATCTCTCCCAGAGATACTGGATAGGTATGAGTCTTCTCCTCATTCTGCTGCATGATGATCAGTCCTGTCAGCACTAGCTACCCACTGATGAAAATGGCCAGCATTGCTCCTGGAAGCTGTTCCCTCAAGCAGAAATGCCTTGTTCTTTGTGAGGCATCTTCTGTTAGAAGCAGACGATAATAACTGAGTATTTTGGGCAAAGCACACAATTTTGCAACTCCCAAATCAACGTTTAGGTTCAAATACTGATTCCATGGGTAGTCTACAGAAAGGTGCTTAAACTTCTGTGTCTCTATTTCATTGACTGGGAACCACTCTCTTTGCATACTGTCCTATGTCACACATTTGGGGCTCCCTCGTTGTTTGCTAGAGTTGGACGTGAGCTCCATAGCTGATATTTTTTTTCTGGATAGCAAATCCCCTGGTGTTTAGTGTGTCTAGATCTGAGGATGAAGAGGTGGGAAAAGAGCCTGCTGCAAAATCAGACAAGAATCCATCTGATGGATCATCCTTTGTCTTAGCTGTAGCAGAACCTCACCTTGATAATGGGCTGTGCCAGTCACGGCTTTATTCTGGCTTTAAGCATAGAATGTTTATCTGGCAGCATATGTTTATTCAGAGTGTTGTTTTAGCTGTTTCTTGCCAGTTGTCTTTAAGGGAATACTCTCTTTCATTGTTTACTTTTAAGGTGTGATGTTTCTAGAGAAGGCACAGACATACTTCACCTCCTGCTGCCCTGGCCCTTAGGCTGCAAGATGCATCTACCATCTGTGTCAACAGCACTGGTGTCCCTTGTCTTTTTGGAAACCTGTGCCCTAGAAATAATGGATTTCGTTAAGGGGTAGTTTGCCTTCTCAGAACTTTGAACAAACATTATATGAATATGTCTTTTATCTTCCTGGCACTTGGGGATGCACATAGGCTGCAAATTCAACAAGGACACTGCCAATGCTTTGGTCCTGAATGTATAATTAATATGTGTGCGTCAAAGATTTTAAAAATGCCAGCATTAAGCTTATTGTGCAGTCACTGGTAAAGCACCATTTGTAAAAATACCTGGTTGCTTCATTCCCTTCAGCTGTGTTTCCTTTGAAGAATGGTTTATTTTGCCATTATTATTTATGTGATTTATTTCCTAGTGTTGCCAGGGGAATGTTTTGTACCTGAATTATTTTGTACCCTTATACTATTGCTTTCCTTTAAATTCTCTCTGCCTGCACAGTCAGGCAGACAACACTTTGATCTTAGGAGTCAGGCTAGCGGTGCTTCATGAGAAATCATGGATTCAGCTGATAACACAGTGCTGACTGTTATGTATAAGGTGCTGACACGCTTACTTCCCCCTTGCTTACAGAGAAAGACAGATGGCTTCCCTGAAGGAAGGAAGTTTGTTGGAGGTTCAGACATAAGCAAGGAAAACTTTGAATTTTTGGTGTCTCTTGAAAAGTTTTTGGCCTTATCTATTCACAAAAACTGCACTATTTTCATGAATTTTTCTTCTAAGATTGATTTAATTTGAAACCAATCCTTCCTGGGAAGAAAGAAGCCTCCTGTGAGACTTGGAAATACTGCAAGCATCTTTCTTACTACCTCAGAACCTGTTTCTTAGGAAATCTGGACTGCTGTACAAATTAGGAAGGAATTATATGGAAGTGTACACCAAACTGATACTGGTGAAACTCCAGTGTATAAATGGAGATAAATAACAGTTTTATTGAACTGTAAGAAGTAGTTAATTGAACTGAGTGCTGTTGCTGCTGAAAGCTTGCTGTGTCTGTCTTTTTCTAAGTGGTTCCTGTGTCAGAAGCTGTGAGGGTCTGTGTTAGAGCCATGATGTTGCAGATATTCCTACAGGAGGAGCTGAAAGTTTAAATCACCTCAAAGAAGTAAAGCTCTTGAGTAAAGCACACCAGGGTACCAGTTTCACACAAATTTAAAGCACATTCCATTGTGACTGGGAAACTGAATGGAAAGTGTTATTAATAACAAGATAATACGGTCTAAAACGGCTCAAAACCATGCTTGTTTAAAAGCTGCTTAGCCATAATTTCCATGTTTGGCTTACAGCACTTCAAAGAATCATTAGGAAGACTTCCAAGAAATTAGATCAGCTCTATCTTTAGAAACAGACATTTCTTAAATGTTTGATATCCCTCAGGCTGTTGGGAGAAATTACACTTTGGCAGAAAATCACAGCTAGAACATTTCAGGTGAATTGGCAATAACAGAAAAGAGGGAGGAGTAAGACAAAGAAGTAAAATCGTGACTGAGGGATGGTAGATTTGTGTTAGCCTGGGCAGCCTTGGCCACATGCAATCACAATTTCATCCTGTGTGAGGTCTTACCTGCATGGACTTGAAAGAAGCTGAAGTGCTGGCACTTTACATCTTCCTCAAGTTATCTACCTGCTTTTGCTCTGGCAGATGTTAGCAGAGCAGTCCTGAGAGCTCATGTGTTGTGTTGATCAACAGAGTTGATGAACAGAGCTGTAACCCAGTTCCAAATGCTGGCTGTCCTCTGTGCATGGGGGAGGAAGGGCCAAGGGCCTGGTCAAGGATGTGCCATCAAAGCAGCTGCAACTAAAGAAGCCAGTTGTGGGCAAGAGCTCCCTAATCTGTTGGATGAACAGGTTGTGCCTACCAGAGGCAAAAGGCAGCACCTCCAGAGGTGCTGTATTTTAAGTCGCCAGTGAGATATACTCAGCATGAATCCTTGCTGTGATTTGTTATCCCCTGTAGAGCCACTTACCTCTCTCTAAAGGATGCATTATCTGCAAATCAAATAATCTGCACAGATTAGTGAAAGCTAGAGAAATGGTTATTTGTACTTACTGGAATTTACACATTAGTGAAATACTACAACATTTGGATTGAGAGTAGAGTAGGAACCACCTTATTGAAAGATTGTTTGACTTGGTGGAAAATTAGTATTTGTTTTCCAGTGAAAAGTGATGAGCCTGTCAAGGATTGTTCTTTTTTAACTTCATATAAATGCAAGTAGGAAACAGTCTTGAAAACTATTTTTAGCCAGTAGTTTGGGCTTGCTTTTTTACATATATTTCCTTGTAGTTAGTACATGTGCATTTAAATTTTAGTAATGATAATGTTGTGGGAATGTGACAGCAAGAGCAAACAGAAGCCTGATGTAATTGAAGATGAGTGATTTGTGTAGCTAATAATTAGACATTCTGTTAGTTAAACAGTGTGGCCAAGGTACAGCACATAGGTAAAATACAATCCCATGTAACTAAGTGATTCTCTGGAGTTTGCTCTAGGCCGGTGCTCGTTATCACCAACACTTAGCAACTGTTTGCTATGGAGTGTGAGAGGTGGAAAAGGATTAACTCTAATAGGCTGAAGCCTGACTGGAAAATCAATGCTTTAAGAAACAAATTCTAAATCTCTTTGATTTTTGCTCCCTTGTTGAAGCTGAGGCTAGCCATGTGGAGCAGCACATAGACTAAAAGTTGTCTGGGTTCTTCTACAAGCTGGCTGAAGTTGCCTGCAAGTAGATTCCATGTGAGCCAGCCCAGCCCAGCTCCGCACTTTACTGCCTCTATTCTCTACTAACCCTGTCCTTTGCTTGTAAGAGATTTCACCGTAACCTCTGTAAGGGGAATCTGGTAAAAATAGCTAATATTAATAGTAACCTTCCCACCTCAATGCAGTCTCATGACAGAAGAAGACTGTGTGGAAATATAAAAAGAATTTAAATGTGTTTACTGGTTAGAAAGCTTTCTTTGGTTTCCTTTCTTCTTAAGTTCAACTTTACAACATCTAAATTTTTAGCCAGTCTTTATGAGTAGCGGCCAGATGGAAGAAGGAATAAGAGGCATTTACTTGAGGTTCCTAGAAATTAAATTTTCAGTCATGAATAGCAGCACCATTTGCCTTGTCACTGATAGCAAGACCAGGTTATGTGCTTCTAGCAGGGAAGCATGTCCAGAAAGTGAAAAACCAATTTTCTTTTGGTCCCACAGTGCTCAGAGAGCTTCAAAATTATTTTCTTGCTGATGACCTTCTCTTGAACACAGATTGAGAATTTTATTATGTTGGAAGGGATCAGTAAGGTGACTTACCTGGAAGGCTGGGGAAGGATGAGAGCTTCCTGAAGAAGAAAGCAGGAAGACCTACAGACAGCAGTTACCTCAGAGGGTCATATTCTGTTTCAACAAGTCAGAATTCATGTCCCAGCAACTGCACTTTCTATTTTGTTTTAACTGGCTTCATTACCTATACCAGTTTTGCTGACTTGCTGGGTTTTTACAAACTACACTGGCTCTCATTAGGTTTTGATTTCCATATCCATGTGGGATTCCCTTTCAGTCTGTGGGAGTGAGATTGTCTGTTCTGTCTGGCTCCTTCAGCAGCTCTGGTCTCAATGGCAGCACCTGGGGAGCTTCTCACTCATTGCAGCAGTGAAAAGAAATGGTCTCATCTCATACCCCTGTATCTCCACCAGCTGTGGCTAAGCACTCTTCTTGTCCAGTAATTTTTCTTGCATTGCTCTGTCTTTCCCTCTCACTCCTTTCAGACTTTATTTATAAGTTTCTGAGTGTCATGTTTCCCATTTGCAAAGAAAAGGAAAAGGAAGGTTCTTGGCAATATTTTTGACCCAGGTGCCTATTTATCTCATGTTATTCCTAATTTTTTTCCCATTCTCCAAGAAGAAACAGGGACCCTACACACAAGCTAGTCATGTATCTGCCTACACATTAACACATATATATGAATTCACAGAATATTCTGTGAATTCATATTAATTGGTCACATCTGCACCCAGATCTCCTCAGTCTGTCTTACATCCACCCTACAAGCCCAGGCTGTGCTTCCCTGAGGTGGCCACACACTACTTTGTTAAAAGCAGTGAGACCATAACAACCAGATCACTGCTCTTTTGCTCTCTGGCATTAATTATGGCTGTCTATGACTGACCTCCTCCTGAAAGAGTTATTCTAAAAATGTTGTTCTGTGCATCTGAGAAGGGGGTTTTGGTGACAGTGTGTGCAGAGTACCTGTGACAGA